ATTTGTAATAGCCTAAACATTGGAAATAGCCAGGATTTTAAAAAATGGGGCTGTATATGAGCAAATTATGTTATGGCAATGAAATGGAATATTACCATACTGCAAAAAAGAGACTGTCATTCCAAGCCATGCGGCAGGACTTCTATGAAGCTGCCAAGTGAGAAGAGCATATGTAATGACTATGGCCACATTTTTTAAAATCCACCATCACATCTAATTTTATAAACTGAACAGAAATAAGGAGGGGATACAAAGCATCTTGGTAACATCTTGTTAAATGGTTTTATTTTGTTCTTTAAAAAAAAAAAGTCCCCCAAGGATAAAACCAAAGAGCTTAGGAGCTGCTGTGGTTGACTGCAGGCATCCTATGAGCCAACAGAGTATTGCAGCTGCTTAGAAGAGCCAAGTCAGGCAGAGGCCGTACTAGCCCAGCACAGTCATCTAGGCCACAGGAAGTAACATCATCCCACCATGCTGTGGAGGGGTCAGAAGACTCGAGGAGGAAGTCTCTTGTTCCATCCCAGTCCCCACATATTGAGGAAGAAACAAACAATTAGTATGAGTACTGGAGGGGAACCAGAATGGTCACAGGAAGAATTCAGGTGAAGGAAGGAGGGCAATTTATTTAGCTTGATATTCATCTTCAAGGATCTTAAGAACTATCAAACAGAAGGAGACAAAGGGATGGCACTTTTCCTAATAGCTTTTTTCTTAAAGGGAAACATGAAATAGGGTATGGGATGCTAGATGTGGAATCAAGAAGACCCTGGACTCAAATGCCACCTCTGACACTCACTGGTAGATGACCACAGATGGACAATTCACATTACACCTCAAATATTCCAAATGTAAAATGGGCTAATAATATTACCTGTGTTTAGCTGGCAGGACTGCTGGGTGAGGATGTGTTTGCGTGTGTGTGTTTGTGTGCACGCATGCACGCGCGTGCGTATATCCTTGTATAATAAAAATACATGATATAAAAGATATATAAAGAGCTCTGCATCTTTAAAGTACATAACTATTAGTGATTATTATTATTTTCTGAACCTCTTTGATATACTTGCCACATATACTTTCCCACAACAGCTATTTGTATATACATCATAATCACCCTCCACAGGTAAAAACTGTTTTATCTAAATGGTTTATTTCCCCGATCATCTAGCAAAGTGTTCTACACACAGTAGGCATCTGATACATTTAAAAAACAAACAAACAAAACCAAAACAGAATCATTCTATGTTGCAGCAGAGGAAAGAACTAGTATCCACGGAAAAAGTTACAAGGAGGTGGCTTTGGGCACAAAGAATGTTAACTGTTCCAAACTGGAATAGACTACCTCGTGAAGGAATGAGCTCCCTGTCACTGGAAGTCATGTCTAGGACTAGGAAGGACCTCAAAAGTCAATCTAATGTGGAAACGGTTAATATGACTGTACATGTATAATTCATATCAGACTGCATGCCGTCTTGGGAAGAGAGAAGGGAGGGAGGAAAATCTGGAACTCAAAATCTTATAAAAGCGAATGCTGAAAACTAAAAAAATATATTTTTTAAAAAAGTCAGTTAGTCTACTCCCCTCATTTCACAGATGAGGAAATTGAGGCCCTCCAGTAACAGCCTCTTTAATTGGCTCTGGCTTCTTGCTCTTCTGAAATTCAAAATCATTCAGATTCTGTCTTTTGCTGTATTGCATCATTATCTCCTTGAATGTCATTTTCTCATGCAGATATCTACAATGATTTTCAACTGCCTCAAATTACTATTATAAACAACATGCCTCGAGAAGTGGAAATTGAGAGGATGTCCATCAATTGGGGAATGGCTGAACAAGTTGTGGTAAATGATTATGATGGAATACTATTGTGCCATAAGAAATGACGAGGGGGATGGTTTCAGAAAAACCTGGAAAGATTTACATGAATTGATGCAAAGTGAAGTGAATGGAAGCAGGTCATTTTACACAGTAACAGTCACACTGTAACAATGGCCAACTGTGAAAGACTTAGCTACTCTGATCAAGACAATTCCAAGGGATTCATGATGAAAAATGCTATTTTCCCCCAGAGTGAGAACTGATGAACTCTGAATGAAAACTGAAGCACGCTTTTCTTACTTTCTTTTTTGTTTTTTTTTGGGGGGGGAGGTGGAGAAGAGTTTGTGTGTGTTTTCTTTTGCAACGTGGCTAATGTGGAAATACGTTTTGCATGACTTCACATGTATAATCAATACCATATTACTTGCCTTCTCACAGGGTGGGGGGGAGTGGGAGGGAAAAGCAATTTGGAACTCAGACTTTCAAAAAATGAATATTAAAAAAAATTTAATGTAATTGGGAAACATTTAAGAAATAAAAATATATTAAAATAAATTAAACTATATGCTTCAAACAGTGTGGTGATAGACTAGAGTGCTGGCCTTGAAGTTAGCATTTATAGAAGGCTTTGCTAAGTACTTTACCAGTATTCCCTCACTACAACCCTAGGAGGTAAGTGCTATTATCATTTCCATTTCAGAGGTGAGGAAATTAGGGCGGGGAGATTAAGGTTCACAGGTTCACACAGCAAGTGTGGATCTGAACTCAGGTCTTCCCAACTCCAGGTCCCGCATTCTCTCCACTGGGCCATCCAGCTTGTTAGTTATGTGAAAGATAGGAAATCACGTCAACCCTAAGTATCTATTAAGCTATAGGGATAGGCCTTCTCAGCATTTCGGAAGAGTTCCCCACATCCACTGAAAGACTCTACCACCTACATCTTTCATGCTCCACATACATATATCAAACAAATCTCCTTATTGTCCTCTGAGTCAGCACAGTAGATCAGGAAACATTTGCTGTTCAGTCATTTCAGTCATGTCTGATTCTTTGTGACCCCATTTGGGGTTTTCTTAGCAAAGATACCAGAGTGGTTTGTCATTTCTACCTCAAGCTCATTTTACAGATGAGGAAACTGAGCCAAACAGGGTTAAGTGACTTGCCCAGGGTCACAAAGCTAGGAAGTGTCTGAGGCCGGATTTGAACTCACAAAAATGAGTCTTCCTGACTTCAGCCCTGGCATCCTATCCACTCTGCCACCTAGCTGCCACATAAGGAATTCCTAATCAGAAGACCCAGTTTTAAGTCTGCGACTTGCCACTTACTAGCTAAGTGAACTTAAATTATTTAATTCTGAAACTCAGTTTCCCCATGGGCAAAATGGGGAGGGCTTGGAAGGGGGTTAATGTAACCTGCCCAGCCTTCCTCACAGGGGTGTGTGTGAGGACCATGTGATAACATTAGGTGCTTTGTAACCTTAGAGTGTTACATAAATGTAGGCTCTTATTCCTATTGCTTACACATGGCTCCCTTCAGAAGGGGTTAGCACACGCCATCCCCTCTGAGTGGGATGCCTTTCCTTTCAGGCTCACCCAAACTTTTTCCTATATTAAAATGGAAGCAAGCCTTAACCTGCCTAATGGTCTCTCGTCTCTGCCTAGCCCCAAGCACCCAAGTCCCTCCAAAACTGCCCTGGCCAATTTCACCTGACTATCCCTGCTGTGGGTGTGCTCACTAGTACGCCTTCCTGGACAGTCTAAATGCTTCTTTTTAAACTTCTTAGAGGCCACTCTTATTCTAGCATTGCCCACATTGCTGGCAACTGAACAAATGTTGTTGACTAGCTGCTCTGAAAACGTTGCATAATCGCAACAATCAGAAATACCAGAAATCCCCAACTACCACACTTCTAACGTCAACTGGTCTTTTTGTATTTTTTAAATACAACTTGGAACTTTTTTAAAAACCTGTTTTTCCATGGTCAGTGTCAACTGCTCCCTAGAACTGTCGAGCTTTGCCCATTTTAAATACACACACACACACACACACACACACACACACACACACACACACTACCTTTAACTGAAATGCTACTTGAACCTGAAGACAGAAAAGCAAAATCTTCTGATATTAACTTTTTAAAAAACCCCTCCAATAGAATATAGTATGGGGGAGGGAAATGGCCCCCCCCAAAATTAGAAAATATGACAGGAGTTTTTAAATGAACAGTATGGCTACTGTGCTGTCATAGGACACACAGCCTGGCTTGTCAGAAGAGTCCCACAGCATCAGCTCACCCAGGGACAGTGTAAAGCCTCCTGCCTTCTAATCTATTAGATTGCTGCCAACAAGATACAAGTACCACCTACATAAACATAAGAACACTTAACGTTAAGTGGGGGGAGATGATATAAAGTCGATATACAACTAGAGATTTTCAACACCAATGACAAAATTAAAATTAATCCTGCAGACTGGAAAGCATTCCTGAACTGCTGGGCAAAGAATATAGGCAGAACACTAGAATTCAATTTTTAGATTCACCTTATGGCCATAGCCTTCTACTGCTTGGGGTGGCAGACTTTTCACCGAAGTAGGTAAGAACCAGAGGGCTCCTTGTCCACTCCAGGCAGGGAAGCTCTGAATCACTATTATTCTTGGCACTTGAAAGGGCACTTGGGTGTTTAAGGGGGGAAATCGAATTCAGCTGTTGCCAGAACTGCTGGGAAGGAGTTTACCTAAGGCCTAGTACACGCAAGCTCCTTGGAGAGTGTCATTTCATGTTACCTTAAATACAACTACCAATGGCACCTCAAGACCTGCCTCTCCAGTCCAGATCCCTACAGAATCATCACCAAGTATCTTCTGCCCACTAGAACCCTAACCACAATTCCAAAATCACAAGGGGGAACTGCTCTGGGTCTGGGATGGACAAAATTTGACAGGGCACCGTTGTCAAAAATGACACTAATCCCAGTCCACTCCAAGTTGGTCCCAATTGATGGCTAGATTACGGTCGTGCCAACACCTCGTCTCCTCCATCGCTTTTCCCACTTACTGCTTTTTTATCTCCCCACCCCACTTTTCACTTTATCCTCATCCCCTCAATGCTCCTCAGCATACAATGGTCCCCCAGCAACTGGCCCCCCCACTCCATCTTTCCCCCTCCAACCAGAACCTACCTCTCCTCCCCACGACCTGCCGCAGCTCCTCTCCACTAGAGATGGCTCTTAGGGAAGAAACCAAACAACTCCTTTTTCTAGGGCAGTGAGGACCCTAAAAGGGGGTGGCACCGAGGAAAGTGCCCCCTATTAACCCTTAAATACTTGGTTGGAGTGTGAGAACCCTCTGGCGGCTACACGAATGCTCTTCCTTTCAGGTCCCCCCCCCATGCAGGATTCAAGCCGGAGAAGTCACGATCCCAAATGCCCATGCCTCGAGGCGAGCTAGAAGCGGATTATACCGGTGCCCAACCGGAGGTGGCCCCGCACCTGCTGCCCCTCCCCCTTCTCCCCTGGCGCTGGAGGCGGAGCGCTGGCTCTCACCTCCCTGGAGCCCGGCCAAGCGGACTCCCAGCCCCGCCCGCCCGCTCCCCCGGTGAGGTTCGGCGGGCGGAGGCTCCCTGGCACTGCTGAATAAGCCTGGGCACTGGGGCGGGTCTGGAGGAGTGGGGCGCGCTCACGGCGCGGGGCAGGAGCCAAAAGACAGTGCGCCCCACGCAGCCAGCCCAGCCCCGTGCGGAGCCGCGTCCTGGGCTCGCAGCCCTGTGACCGTGGAGAGGGAGGAGAAACGGGAAAGGGGCGGGTGGGTAGGAAGGAAGGAAGGACCGACTGACTAATGGACGGACGGAAGGAAAGAGAAAGAGTGGGGGTCGTCCAGTCCGCAATCGCCTGGCAACCCGCAACCGCAGCGCCCCGCTCGGCGCACAGGCCGGCGTCCCACCCCCATCCCGGGCCCCGAGCAGGGGCATCTTCCAGGAGCCCCACTGGAAGGGCAGCCCCAGCACTCGGCCCGCAGCTCGGCGCGCACGGGAGGGGAGAGCAGCGGAGAGCAGGAGAGGGTGCCAGCGCGCACCCCGCCCCTCCTCTACGCGCCCCCGCCCCGCCCCGGGGTTCCCCGTCGGCCGGGAGGCGGCCGGACCCACCTGGCGGAGCGGCGGCGGCATCACCTGCGGGGGGCGGCGGCGCGGCTGGCCCGGGGCGCGCGGGGCTGGCGGGGGCGCGGCACGGCGCCCTGGACCCTGCTCCCGCGGCCCCTCCCGCGGCTGCCAGCCGGACGCGCGGCGGAGGAGCCGGGGTACCGGCGGGGGCGGCGGCGGCGGCGGCGGGAGCAGCAGCACATGACTCTGTAACGAGGGGAATTAGACAAAGCGTAACATGGACTCCGGGGCCGGTGCTGGCGCTGCAGCCTCGGGACCAACCGCAGCCGGCGAGCGCCGCGACTGGCCCGGCTGCAACCAATGGAGCTGCCCGGGGCCCCCATGTGATTGCGAGCGAGCTCTAGCCGGCCGGCCCCTCCCCACTCCCCCGGCCCTCCGCCGGGACCGCGGGGCTCCGGGCCCGGCTCGCGCTGACACGCAGTACGCACACGCCCCGGGCGTGGGAGAGCGCGGGCTGCGAGCCGTTCCTTCCCCGCCCCCGGCAGGTGCAGCCGGCCTGGACCCGGCGGTCAATGTCGTCCTCCTTGTGCGCCCATCTGGGCCGGGCCCTCCCACGTACTGGTCATCAGCCGAGGCAGAGGGACCTGAGAGTCTCGGGTTCGAGGCCCCCCAGATGTAACCAGCTGTGCGTGCAGTACAGGGGTAGGACAGATACACAGGGAAGGCAGTTAGGCAACTCCCATCCCCCCCCCAACAGAGAATGCCTATCTGCTAGTCCAGTTGGTAGATTAATATCTGACCACCCACATTTTTTCCTTCTTACCCTTTTTGCTCAGTTTATTATCTGAGGTTCAGGGTGACTGATCTTTCTTCTGATCTAGGCCTAGTCTGTTACTGTGTCACCCATTTTCTCCAGCAAAAGTCTTGCATCTTCAGCAGACAGCAGCTGAACTGCCTAACTAACCCAGATTACTTTAGGCTGATGCAGCCTCCCTGGGCCTCAGTTTCCTCTTCCATAAAATGAAGGGAGTTGGACTAGATGTTCCCGCTTTCTAGATCTAGATCCATAATCCTGTGATAATTGGGGCTGATTGTCTAAAATGATACCCTCCATAACAAATAATTCATCTTATTTTTTGTTAAATGATTGAAGCTCCTCTGATATTCCCCTTTCCCCTACTTTGTGGGAGAGAAGTGAAGGGGAGAATGAGAAAAATATTTTCTTTTTCTTTTTTCCTGCAGAACAAATAACAGTAATTTTTATCGGACAGGTCCTCAGATGTCTTCCAAAATGAAAGTGTTCATCTAATAGCTCAGATTCCACACTAATAACTAATCCTGGTCTCATTCCCCACCCCTCTTTGATTGAATGGAGTCCTGTCACCCCTGGGGCATACTGAATGACTTAAAATCATAGAGTCATAGATCTACAGCTGGAAGGGCCCCCAGAAGTCAACAAGTCAAACCCCCAAATTTTAAAGAGGACAAAACTCAAGCATGCTGGTTAAGTGATTTGCCCAGGGTTATATAGGCCCCTCTCCACCTTATGGTATAGCATCTAATAATACTCAAAAGTTGCTTGTAGTCTAGTATGATTTGAATAATCCCTTTTATGTAGATGTTTTTAGTATTTTAGGACAGGGTTTTTGACCTGGGGTAGAGGAGCTTGAGTGTTTAGGTTAATATTTTGATAGCTTTCAATAAAATTGATTTCTTTGTAGTCTCATATATTCTGTTTTGTGAACTTTAAATCATCTGAAAAAGGGTCCATGGATTTCCCCAGACTGCGAAAGAGTTCCATTTCACATACACGTTAAGAACCACTCATTGAGAGGAAGAGAAGAGACAAGAGGTTTGAGTTGCTTTATTATCTCTTTTACAACTGAATTTTCCTTCATTCCATCCCTCTCCCTTTCAGGTATCTGAGGGAGAAGGGGAATCAATTTTTTGTAATTGCTCCCCATAGGGATATGTTGGAAACTTTTTGGAGAAGTCAGCAGGACGAAAAGAGAAATAGGCCCCATAAGAGGAAGTTCCCATCGCTGTAGGATGTCACAGAAGCTGTGATTCAGGGAGGACTGGATCCTCTGCCAGACAGGGAAAACACTGAAGGCCTCCTCTGTTGCGGTAAATATGGTAAGGGAAACGAATTGCTTTTCTTGGGGCTTTGAACCTGCCCAACCAAAAATACTGAGAGGCTACTGCTACAGTGGCCAAGAGCTAGAATAAAGTAATGCCTGGGGCACTTGCTTGGAGCAGCTCCGAACTGCATGCTCGGGGCATGTCTGGCCTCACCTGACCCCAGTACTATGAAAAGAACCACCATCATGCCATCATCATGATCTGTAATTGATTGGCAGCTATGTGCATCATTGGGAGGAATAGATTTGTTCTATGGGTGTCAAATTCTGACTGTAAATTATACTCTAGATTTTTTTGTAAAATTTTTAATTCACTTTAAACTTAAATGCAAAACAAATAAAAAAAAAAGAATATTTCCATGTACTCAGCAGAACATAAGAGAGAATCCAATATAAAACAATAAATTTCCATTTCAAGAAAACCTATATAATGAATACTACACATTGTTTTCAAAGCTATCCAGCTTTTTTTTGCTTCCTTCTAAGTTTTCTTTATTCTCTCCTGTGCACTGTTTACTTTATTTTTTCTCCCCTCCCACCCTAGAGAAGGCTACAATTAAACTCAGATATATGTGTGTGTATAAACATGTGTGTGTGTGTGTGTATACCTAGATCTCTATAAACATACATGTATATACTCATACGCATATACGTAAGATGGTACTATTCATATTTCCGCTTTTCATCTTTGAAGGTAGATACACTCTAGTTTAAGAATCTTGCAAGGTTGTGGGGAGCTAGGTGGCAGAGTGGATAGAGTACCAGCCCTGGAATCAGGAGGACCTGAGTTCAAATGTGACCTCAGACACATAGCACTTACTAGCTATGTGACTCTGGGCAAGTCACTTAACCCCAATTGCCTTCCCCACCTCCTGCCCCAAAGACAAAGCAAAAGAATCCTGCCAGGTTGAGCTTATTAAAAGTTTTCCATTCTGGTCAGCCAGTGTTGGCTGTCACCTTGCCCATCTTAATTTAGCCGTAATGTGTATGGATAGCACATCTTTGAAAACAAAACTCTTCTGATTCGTATTTTTTAAATCAACAAATTTCAATTGCAAATTCATAACCACAAGCTCCTGAAGTATAAGTTGTGTATAACAAAAACAAAGAACCATGAGTAGCATGCAATACCTTACAGATAAGACTGAATAATAGCCAACAGTTTTATAAAGAATTATAAGCATTTTGCACAGTTGTAGATTCATTCTCTTAGGCAAAGTGCATTTTTGATAGTGAATAAATTAATGAATATACAGCCAGAGTAAATTATTCCAGATAACACAAAAAGGAGTTCTCCTTTTCATAAAATGTCTGATAATATTATGAACTGTGTGCCTGATAGTATTATGAGCTGTATGCTTGCAAAAATGGAGAGTTGGTCTCAGTATACTATGGGATATTGGGCATACGTATATTCCTAATGCCTATTTCCTGAGCTGTGTGTATGAGCCAAGATTGTGAGAAAATCATCCCAAATGTACCTCGGCCTTTTGTGTCACCAGAAAGTCTCTGGCAATCTAGTGACAAACTGAATATTAGAACCAGGGACAACCAATATCCTGAGGTCACAGAAATCTATCAGCAGGATAGCTGCAGGGTGATGAATTAAAACCATTTATAAGTCGTAAAGGGGCTGTAATCTGGGTTAGTGTAGCTACTATCCTTGTCCATGTAGGAACAAAGGAAAGATTCTTTAAAAATATAATAATAAGCCATTCACCAAGGAGCCATAGGCTAGAGACTTAGGCAGAAATCTGGAGATCTTTGCATCTCCATGGGTAATATCTTATTGGAAGAGTGCCTTTAAGATGATATTGACCTACTGAATTTGAAACGCTTTTGTTTAAAATCAAGATGCCATAGACATGACAGGATTTTGCATTTTCCGCATCTCTCAGTCAGTTGAGGCCCCATGAAGAGGTGGTCAGCTATAGAGAATCATCTGTGAAAGAATTTTCTCATATTTTCTTTTTAAAACAATAGCAAAATGTGGAAATATATTTTGCATGACTGAACATACATAATCTATAAAATTGCCTTCTCAAGGAGGGAGGAGGGGAGGGAGATAGGGAATTTAGAACTCAAAATTTTTAAAAACGAATGTTAATTGTTTTTACATGCAATTAAGAAAAATGATAATTAAAAAATAAAAATAGCTAGCATTTATAGAGTGCTTCAAAATTAGCAAAGGGCTCTACATATGTTATCTGATCTTCAAATCAATACTGTTATC